TGTTGCCAGGATCTCAGTTTTTATATATAAAAGCTGAAACCATTGGTCTGAGGAAGAGGGCATTGTGGAGCCCTGGACACTCAGTGCCGGTGATGACACTGATGCCACATTGGACAAAAAAGAACCACAGGAGGAAATGAAACACTTACAGCATGCTTTTGACAAGTTTCTTAAAAGCATTCATCTGCAATGTCTCCCTTCAACCATTGTGAACTCTTACCCCTTGAAATGGTGTATTCCCCTGATGTAGAATCACCAGACCTTAATCCCTCTATATCCACTGATGAATCCCAGCAACACACACAGTAGGGATGCCGCCTAATTGAATTTCCTTGGTCACAATGAAACACACACTCAGGACCTGCAAGTTCCAGTCCATGCCTTTGATAAGCAAATGACCCCTATGGAATTGAGGTCACAGCCTGCGAAAACAAGAGTGAGGGAGAGAAAAATAAAGTCCCGCACTCAGACAATCCCAATATCGACTCACCCGGGATTGAGTCCAATGATGTTTACCCTCTGTGTGTTGAGCCTCTGCTGGCTTAAGAGGAAATTCATCCGACAATCACACACACAAAGATGTCCGTGGTCCCGTCACTCACGTTGTGACTTCTTCCTTTTTGTTACTGTAAGGGCTATTTTTACATTTTAATGGAGTGCATGTGTAAATAATCTTGTCCTTGCTACAGATTCCTATAGAGCACAGTACAGTAAATGTTGCCGCATCCTTTGTGTCTGTTTTTGTGTGCCATTGGCTCCAGTAATAGCTTTTCTTGTACTCAATTGCCTGAAGACTGTGCAACAAGCTCCCTCGTACAATAGTCAGGTCAGTTAATTCATGAACTCATCCACTCTGCATCTCTTCTAGTCTTTTTTTTTTGTATTTTGTTTTATTTGTTGAAAGTCTTGAGGCAGAATAGTGTGTTTGCTTTGGCATCACTCAGAATGCAGAGCCTGGATGCTTTTACAGATACTCCTTTTAGAAACTAGCCGTGCAGCTTCGCTGTCTGCTTTACTCGCAAATCGTTGATTAACAGAACTTTATAGGCTTAGGTAACTCACAGGAGTCCGTTTGAAAGTCACACTTTTACAGTCAGCTAGCTTTATTTAATTTGAATAAAATATATCTTTAGACTTTGACAATAGGCTTGTCTGATTGACATCTCTGATAGTTTTACCCTGATGCCAACCAATATGCCTTAACCTTACCAGCGAAGGCAACCAATTGTAGCCAATCAGAGGCAGAGTAGGGCAGTTGATATGCCATAGTAGGATATAAGATATTGTAGTTATTCTGCATAATAATTAGCCACATTCTTTGGTTTGTTGCAGGGACTGTGTATATTCTGAGCAGTTGGCATTTGTTTTAAGGTAAACGGGGGGTTGGATTAATGGATTTTGGATAACGGGCCTTCACAACATTGGGCAGTCTCCAATTCTCCTTGTTATAGTCTCAGAGATAAACTGTAGTGTAATTTTTAACTAATACTTCCTGAACTATCTGTCTCATTTAATATATGCACAAACATACAGTGACACCTTTAAATAGATTATATTTCTACAAGGACTGATCAAATGTGTTCCTTTTGAACTAATTGTGTTTATACTATTGGAACTGCAGTTGCCAGGTCTTGTGAATTACAGCACTGGTATCAATAGTATCAATGTGTCAAAGAACATGTTATGCATATTAATCAAACATTTTTACATTTGGGAATTTGAGTGAGAATTGTATTTACTACCAAAAGACAGCAGCTTTCTATTGATATTGGCACTGGTATGAGTCTGTGTCTCCGTGGAAGCATGCATTACTTCTTAATTTCAGTGTAATATTACAAAGCTTGGAGATTTGTATATATATTATGGGTAAGTACAGCTGAGTAAGTTGCCCCCATTGCACGCCAATCATAAAACATAAACTCTCCAGGGCTCCAGCTGTAAGCCCAGAATTCTCACAGTGTCAATCACATAATCATCCTTTTAAAGTTTTCATTTCACTGCGGTTTCTGGATATGAGCTCATTTATAAATGGGCCGCAGATCAAACCGAAGGCTGCGGGAATCATGTCATGTTTTAATTATCGTTTAACAGGGATGTTAAGTGAACGCTGAATATCTTGCAGGAAAGGTAAAAGAAAGTGTTAATTTGACTATCTTACTCTCTTTAGTTCCTAACACCTTAGAGAGGCAGCCGAGCACCATTTTATAAATCGATATTGATATTACTGAGTCAGAAGGGTGTCCGTTTTCAAAAATCCCGAGCATAGCTTAATATGAATCAGTGGTGTAGTTGCCACATCAGTCACCTATGAGTGGTTTTCATAAAGTTGTGTTTTGCTGACAGACCTGCCAGTGGAATAGACTTTGGAAAACAACAGTAAATAGCAGCCTGTCCAATCATTATTAGCTGCTATAAAAATTACAGTCCCATTTTGTTCACAAAGTGATGAGATTATTTTGTCCTTCTTATTAATTGGAGTGAAATTGGACAGAGTGAATCACTGCAGTGTTACTGGAAGGTGTCGGACACAGAAAGCAGGTAATTATGGAGACAGGAAGAGATAAGAAAATGGAATGCAATTACCCCGGCAAGGAGAGCTTCAAATTGCTCCTCTCAGGATTTCTCACTTCAGGTCCCTATTGTTCATTCTTTGCATCTCCATACTCATCTATTCCTTTCAGCCTCTAGCTCAATGAATAAGGAAGGTTTGCATTAATCAAATGAATTTCTGCGGTAAGTAGAGCCATATAACCAACTGGACACCGCTTATTGATCAATTCTAAATGTATTCAAATGTTTTTCCCAATTATTTTGCCCACATAAACTGCTGAGCTAAGTCTAAATCCGATGTTTCCATTGTTCCTTATATCCAAGGCTGTAAAAGTTTGTCAGAATTAAGTTTAATTTAACTTTCTCGTTGTAGGGGGCACAGATTGATCTCTTCTATCTCCCCCCTCCAGACTGCAACTGTACTATTGTTCCATCCATGTGTGCATACATAGCATTTTATTAACGACTAACACGCACACAAATATGAAACTAAATATAATAATACCCCCTCTCAAATCCCTCTCCAGTGAGCGAGATTGCTGCCTGTGTATGTGTTACACAAAAACTGCTGCTCTTGCTACATTAGACTTCATTTCATAAATTATGTGGATTCCCCGGCTCACTTTTTTGTAGAACACGCAAAATGCAACTGCAAACATAACCATTGTTCTTAGATATAGGTATATGTAGAGAACTCAAAATGTTTTCTCTTGTTCAAGGTGAAAGCCAAATGTTGCCATGCTGCTGGTTCAAAAAGGGAGGTTTCTTCTGCTCCATTTGTTGATTCTCTCTAGTGCCCATTTTGTTACTTTGGGCATTTATTTTAGCCTCGAGGTGCTCTCAGTCTGTGCCACACACTCCCTACACACACACACACACACACACACACACACACACACACACACACACACACACACACACACACACACACACACACACACAGTAGAGCTAGAGTTGAGAGGGAAAGAAAGTGAGTAAATGAGAGTGAATTCCTCAATCCAGACTTTTATTTCAAACTTTTTTGACAGTTATTTGGCTGAATTATTAAAGCCAATGGAAACACACAAATATTACCTTTCTCCTTGTTTTTTTTCCGGAGACTAACACATAGCAAGGGGACGCTGTTAACGCTTGAGGTGGCGCTTCCGGGCTAGATTTACTGCATGTATACTCGCATTTACCAAGAACTCATATTGCAAAATCTACTGCATTTAGACGCTAATACATGGGGGGGGGGGTCCACCAGTGACCCTTACAGCTACTTCTCAACACGTGGCGGCCAGCAGTGGAGCCACTCTGCTTTCCTCCCTGACAGCTTATGTCACCAATGGGACAAAGGCCTCTACAGATCCACGCACAGTTTTCCTCAAATTGTTTACTAAAAAATCCTCGTTTTCAGTTTGTTCAATGCTCTGTATCAGCACAAGTGCTTTCTGTAATTGCTGTATAGGTTTGATGGTCTGATAGGTGCCACTTAGCCAAACGTCAGCTCGCCTCAGTCTGGAGGGGAATGATTACCGCACACAGATCAAGTGTGTGAGTGAGAGGAGGGTCACAAAGTGCCTTTATGTAAATGGCAGTAGAAGAGCAGCTCTACATTGAGACTTAAATATACAGCTTTTAATGTGTGCCCTCTGTGACTGTTAAATGTTCTGTGTTCATAAAAAGAGCCCTGGGAGAAAAGATGAGATGGAGTGAGAGAGGGCTGGAAGCTGAGGGAAACGCAGCAATCTCTTGATCAGAGGGAAGAGAAAGTAGGACACGTCGTAGGGATCAAGGTCTTACCTTGATATATATAAAATACCTCTGGATTACAGGTCCCAAATAAAAGGTCAAAGGAAAATGAAATGAAGGATTGCTAAGAAATATAAAAAAATACCTGACTCTAACAACACTGTGTTGTTTGGACAGTTAAGCAGAAGGGATTTTCTCGCAATTTTCTTTTGTTTTGAGAAGCGATGTCTTTACTTGAAAAGCAATAAAGCTTACATCAACACTGTTGTGTATATACTCCATAGATGTGTACTATTCCCCCCCTCGTGGATTTAATAATAGAGAGGCAGGTCGTGCTGAATATTTTTGTTTGTTTAGCGCTTCCTTGTTCCTTTTCAACTGTTGGTTTTAACGCCTTCCGAATTACACCAAGGATAGCTGTGAGCCTCTCTTCTCATTTTCCTCGGTTAACAAGCACTCTGTTTATATATGATTATGGTTCTATGCTTGTTTATTCTGCAAACCTTTTTTTCTAAATTACCTCACCGATTTAGTTCAAGGTACAAAATGTACTAAAGGATTCAGAAGAGCTCATTTTGTTTTCTTTCTGGGAAGAAATACTCATGGTCGCTTAATTGTTTGGCTCCATCAAACGAGCTGATCGGGATAAACTTGATCCCCCTACCCCCCCCCCCTTCATTTCACCATTTTGATTACTGCCTGTGTTTGCTTTGCAGCGCTGCCAATCATGCAGGTGACGATTGACATAACCAGACAGCAGGTGGAGAAGATCTTCGGTCTGGATGAGTACTGGTGTCAGTGCGTCGCCTGGAGCACCACCGGAACGCAGAAGAGCCAAAAAGCGTACATCAGGATTGCTTGTGAGTGCACTTTAAAAACATCACTGTCATTACAAATGACATTTCTGCAACATATTGCATGTCTGTTTGCAATAAGAGGATATTAGCATGATGATTTTTCACCTTGCGTGATAGTGTAGGGAGTAACTTTCATTTACCAACCAGCCCAGAAGCTCTCTGTGCACTACGGTGCATTACTGTGATTACAATTTACCTAGATCATCTTTAGGCAATTGTAGTTATTAAGAAAATATGTTGCCCGTGGCAGGGATAAACTGAGATTAATGCATCTGTTTAAAGGAAGTCTTGGGGAAACAAATAGAACACTAAATTGAGCATTCATGAGCATATTTTTCACTGGTTACAGTACATCAAGATGAACCCTGTGAAAGTAACCGGAATAAACAGAGATTTGAAATCTATTGCTGTGCAGTAATCATAAATCTGTCTGGGGAACACAGACACATCCCTCGCTCAGCCTCAACAGCTTTATTAGGAGAAGCCATTTCACATTTGAGTATTTTAAAGCATTCTGCCTATTTATTCACACATAAATATGCATTATTCCACACAGAGCCGTACGCAGCGCTGTCTCCGACCCATTTGAAAACACACATTCATTATCCGACCTTGTTTGCGAGCTGAACAAAAAGAGTTCCATGTAAGATAAGGCCACGCGCCAAAAAACAATAATGTGTGCGTGCACACACATCCGCATACATTTGAGCCTTCCAGGAGTGTTATATCTTAAGTCTCCCCAGCCAATTAGATCGGTTTTAATTAAATTGAATGTCATGAAACTCTCTGCTTTTCCTAATATAATGATTGGTCAGGACAGACACAACATCTGTTTAAAGAAAATGCACGGGGGCATAAAGCCACACCCTCAGCCTCTCACAACACAATAACACATTACTGATGCATGACCCGGGGTGAACACATTAAACGTGCTCCAACCTGCCAGCTATGAGCATCCTGTCCATCTCATTTTATACAAATTGCCTTGCATTCATTTTCACTCGTGAGAAATAAGCAAATAAGCGTTGCCAGTTTTACCTGTGTAATGTACAGCCTGGGCTTACGGACAATTGTATAGCAGGACTTGCAATGGTAAGAGTTTCCAATGAGACGTAATGTGAAGCCCCATGCAGGCAGCCAGGCTTGCAGGAGCTCTTGTCCAGGCGCCTCAGGGCTCTGTTTTCGTGCGGCTGCTCCAAGCCCTCATACAGATGGAGGCTGGGGGCTGGAGAGAGCAGAGTGGGTGGTAGGGGACGAGTGAGGGGTAATGCAATTGCTTTTGGTTGATGCCGGGCCCCTCTGGCAGCAGACAAGCATTTCTGAACCAGCCAGGCAGCCTGTAATAAGCAACATGGTTGGTGCCACAGATCCCTGTGTGGCTTAGAGGCCAACTGGAGTGCGACATGCTCAGCGACGCCACGGGTGGACATTTCTAGAGAGAAGGAAATGTTGAAACCTCCGAGCTAAGTTTCGTGGAAGGAAGTATTTCATTTTGAATCTCACAAGCTCGTACAAACATCCTAATTGGTTTTGTCTCTCCCTGTCTTTTTTCAGACCTGAGAAAGAACTTTGAGGAGGAGCCGCAGGGTAAAGAGGTTACATTGGACCAGGAGGTGTTACTGCGCTGCCATCCCCCCGAGGGAGTGCCACAAGCCGAGGTGAGACATGGATACAGAAGATATTTATAAGCCCACATCTAGCATCCCTTTACCCTTTCCTCACCAGGAGTACAAAGAGCAAAAAGTATCTCAGGATTAGCTCCCCAGCATCTCCAGCAGGGAACAGTCAACCCTGTACGGATAAATTACACCTCTAATTATTCCCCATTATTGATTTATTATCTCCCTTACATCTCTGAGAAGCCGTATATCACAGCGCCTCGTCACATCACTCAGGATAGGCTTGGAGGCTTCACTCCCCGTTTGGCATCTCTAAAGGCCCATCCATAATTAATGGATCTATTTGCCTCCCTCTCTCCCTATCTAATTCTTTATCTCTCTGCCGTCTCTCCACGTCCTGTGTGTCTCGTACCCTCTTGTTCTGCTCAACTCTCTCCCTTTCTCTTTACGTCTCTGGGTGCTGTGTGTCTGTGTTTAGAGGACCAGACGGGGGCCAGCTGTTTCACCTCTTCTGCTGCGTCCACCTGGTCCCATATAGGCACTAACCGCTCTAATAACAACACAAGAGGAGGTTAGGCCAGCCACTCAGACAGCCCAGAGACCGTGAGCAGCAGAGTAGCCAATCACAGCTCCACAATGTAGGGACAGTGTGCAGAGAAATAGAAAGGTAGGTGCCAAGTGCAGTTCAACAGAAAAGAACATCAGAGCAGAAGTCACCACGGGAGAAAACAAGGATAGTGCACAAGAGGAGGAAAGCCCAATTATATGCGGCATTGCAACTGGCAGTAATACGCACAACAATGCTGCTGTACCGTAGCTACTCTCGAGACGAGACACAAGGTCAAGTAAGAGCAAGAAAACAAGCAAACCAATCTGAAAGTACACCAATAAAAGAATAATATCAGTTTTCGCTTGTGCAAGAGGGCACAGAAAACTACACAAAGCATGATTAGTATCATTCTCGGACCACTAACATCTAGAGATCTCCAGCAGCTATGCATTAAAAGCTACATTCCCCACACAAAAAGAAAATATATAAGAATTAAAACGCTATATAGATGAATTAATTCCATCTCAGTGTCAGTATAACAACAAGCTACATTTGAATCTTTCTCTGTTTGATTGCATTAATAACTGCACTACTTTTATGTTCAATGCAAAAAAAATCCAATCCCCGGCATGTGTGCTTCCTGTGGAGCGGCTTGTGAGGGGAGCAGTTTTCTATTCAGTTAAGGTGAATTTTGACCTTTTGAAACCTATTTTTCAGGTGGAGTGGCAGAGAAACGAGGATGTCATCAACCCAGGGAGCGACCTCAATTTTTTCATGACAACTGACCATAGTCTCGTCATCAAAAAAGCCCGGCTGGGGGACACGGGGAACTACACATGTGTGGCCAAAAACATTGTTGCTCGCCGCAAAAGCAACTCTGCCACGGTCCTAGTCTATGGTAGGTGGAAACTCCTTTCAACAGGTGTCAAAGCGGTCTACACACAGTAATGCAAAGTCTGGAGTTAGGCAGCTTCCAAATATGCGAAACATAAAAGCAGCTTAAATGAATTGTGTATTGCTTGCATGTGCTTCCGTTATCCCAAAGTCTAACAATAACCCTGCATGTTCGCCTGCATGCAGGAAAAATGAGTACACAGATTCTATGTGAAGTTTTAAAGAGAATATGCAGTGTTACACATAATGACATACAGTGTCTACAAGCATGAGGCAGCTCTACTATCCAGCAAACAATGAATTATATTTTCATAAATAATGACATAATGACATAGTAGTGTATCTGCACAATAATTAGCACAACTTAAAATGTTACTGGCATCCATTCTGCCAAAGCTGGCCAGCTTCAATCTCCACGCTGCCATCTTCCTCTATCTTTGCAGTGAATCCAATACGGGAGGAGAACATTCAATAAAAGCAAACTGTAAATAATTACTTGACTCAATAAGCAGACTGATCTGTATTAAAATTCTGAGAAACAGCATATTTGTTATCACAGAGGGTTTCTTGGGTACTGGCTCGTCTTCTTTTTTGCATACATTGAAGCCAGACTTATTTCTCAGCTACTCTACATGCAAACAGGAAATCACGAGGAACGGATTATGAAAGCAACTTTGTTGTATATGAGAAATGTAGAATCTGGCACAGTGTCTGACACGGTTCGTTTTTATCAAGGCTGCCAGAAGAAGACGATTATATCTAGTCAGAACAAGACTTCTTGACAGTGTCAAAAACACAACATATGGCAACATAAACAGCACTATCGAGGAGTATGCACACCTCTGCATCACTTCTGCTATAAAATGATTTCAAGGTTTTTGTGTGAGTCTATACAATATTTTACATCAACTAAAAAGAACAGGTAATCAAAATCCATGAAAAGGGGTGCACTAGGTGCAAGTATTCCTATCCCTTGGGAAATGAGGGTGTCAGTGGGAATTATTTGATCAAAACTGAATAACATGTGCAGTTCTTAAAATTCAGGTTATAGCTACATGATTTAAAATTGAATATATTTTCACTTAAAAGTGCAGTCCGACAAAAGATCTCAATGGATTTAAGGGTGTGGGATGAATTCCAATTCGGACAACATAAGCATAGTTTGAAACATGAAGGTCTTCAATTCAGGGCTTTCGAGCTTTAATATATCAACGGAAAAATAACGATGAACTAGACTGAGCTGTAATATTAAACAATGAATACATAAAATAAGCATTTAGGGATATCACTGTACTTAGGAACTTTGACAAAGGACTTGTGTGTTCTTTTTAGGCAGTATTTTAACTGCAAATGATGGTCAAAAAAAGGCATTTTCTCGGTGAACGATTTGAAATTAAATGTGTACATTTTGAGCGTGCAGTCAATACACACATTTCACTGAGCCTTGAGTGTAATGAGAAAAATAAACAAGTTATTTGTACTTAATTATAATTGATTAGCTTGTTGTTGAAAGCTCTGCAGATCTACAAATCCACACGTATACAGATTAAATGAGTGCGGAGGCAAAAGCATTCTTATTGTTGTCGCCTTTCTTGTAATGTCAAAAATACAATAGTTATGAAATGAAATATTGTTTGCTCTCAACAACCTGACAAATTGTGAACAAATTGTTCGTGGTGCATGCATGTCAGATTTTCATGTGTTCTTGACAAGAGGACAAATGTATTACCATTGTAGCAAAGATTGAGGTTATGTCACAATAGAAGTGGTCTTATTAAAAAAAAAAGAGAGAAAAGAAAAATCCATTACTGAGAGCATCACAGTCCATCATGCTAGCTGATCAAGCTAGCTGTAGCAAGTCATAATAACTGCTACTTTTCAAAGGGGGTTCAACGGGGGGCCAGAGATGCATTTTAACAAGGCCTGGCTGGTGTGACTGCACTCTGCGCTAAGAGGTAATCAGGGGCCGAGTTGCCTGGCAATTTACCTCGCAGTGGCGGGCAATCAATCGCATAGAGAGGGCAAGGAAATGATTCAGCCACGACAAGCACAGGAGAGAGTTAGGGGGGAAATTAGGAAGGGAGTATGTACAGAAAAGGAACGACAGCGCTGTGCAAGTCAATAAATCAGGAATCTCGGTATCTTGTAAGCTGGGGCAAACACAGGATGTACAGGAAGGAGCTGATTAGAATTAAACCAGCGTGGTGTGATGGAATCACCTGCTGAGATTGAGCGATATAGCTGCAATTATGTGCCAATAGGTGGATAAGGTTCAGCAAAGTGCCTTTCAGTTTGAAATAGAAAAGAGGAAAAAATGTTAATTCAAAAAATACTTGAGTTGAGTGACGTGGGAAATCAGCAGTGGATGAGTGAAAGACACAATTTCAACAGGGTTGATGTATTTATTTTTCAGTCTTGGCCTTTCCGTAAGCATGTTGTAATTATTATTCTGTATATAATATGACATTTTTGTATAATGTCTTCCATTACCTTTGTGAGATTTAGGGGGCTATCTAAAATATCCTCTAGTTACTTTGCAGAAACTGTGTCTTCCTCAGAGATAAGGTCAAAGATGGCAAGCTGTCATGTTATTTTCTGTTCCCCTTTGAAGCTATTTTGTTTTCACTGCAGTTGGCTGTATTTCCAACATGGACACAGGAAGCTGCCCCCCCTTTGCAGTTGCTCTTCCATTAGTTCAGCTTGCAGTGCTGAGCCACAGAGTGTAACAGCAGTCACAATTATCCTAGCGCAACACACCTCTTTTCCTTGGTGCATGTCGGGTAATCCTGGCTGCTCTGTCCCTTCATCCATCCCTCCTTCCCAACCTCCCCCTCCCTTACCCACTTCATCGCCCACCCCTGGCGCTGGTCTGACAGTCAACGGCGGCTGGTCCACGTGGACCACCTGGTCGTCCTGCAGTGCTGTGTGTGGGCGCGGCTGGCAGAAGAGGAGTCGGAGCTGCACCAACCCCACGCCACTGAATGGAGGCACTTCCTGTGAGGGGCAGAACGTCCAGAAAAGTGCCTGTGTGGCCACCTGTCCAGGTAACTCCCAGGCAACCCCGTTTGTCCTGTGGCGCTTGGCTTCCTGTGGCTTCCTTTTTGCATTGTTTTGCATCTAGAAGTCATCCATTCATCTTTATTTTGGCTGCCTTGTGTACCAGCACCTTGGTCTTACCTTAGATGCTAGTGCTTCTGTTGTTTCCTGCAATTAGACCGCTTACACAGCAATGTCAGTCTATTAGTCTTCACAGTCACATCCTAAAAAGTGATTTATTCTTTGTTCACATATCTCCTTATCTGCTGCTCCGGCCTCAGACCACGCTTCTATTTCAGAGACCTGTCTGCTTTAAGAGACATGGTCCAGGCCATTGCATTGTGTCAGACCAGCGCGTACATTAGTTAATGTTTGCTGCGCAAGCTCTGTAGTAAATATGGGCAATACAAATCTGAATAATGGTGGCTTGTGTGCCATGGCTGCGTTTGGGGAATTGAGGGTGTTTCATTTGCCTGCCTGTTCTACCCTGTAAGAGCGTCAGGGAGGCAGAGAGCGTCCTGCCTGATACTGAGCAACACATATCGATCTCTGGTAGCCTGAGATGGAAGTCAAGCTGCTTCATTTGCAGTCCCACATTAGTCCCCATACAGAGAGAGAGATAGCTGGATAGGAAAAGGGAGGTGTAAGGTGAAAGCAGGGATAGAGACAGATGGAATCAGATACAGTGTAAGATAGGACAAAGCACAGAGTGATAGAGAGAAGAGGAAAACTGAGAAAGAAAGAGCCCCAGTGTGTACAAGAGCTTGCTGTTTAGCTGCCAGCAGATCAGTGTGTGGACATATAGCCGAGGCTCTGCAGCCATGCTGACCGCAGGAGAAATCTCCCACGCTCGGTAAATAGCAGAGAGGGAAACCCAACACCTCTGGCAGTGGCAGCTTCTCCCAGCCTAAAACAAAGGTTATCTTACTCGGTGAATCAGGGCGTTGTGTTACACATCTCTCATGTAAAGACATCACTCGATGTCAAGCTGGAGTGTAAGTAACATGGCCCGCTGGAATACAGTAGGAGGAGGAAGACAAAGGGAGCACAGTGGTGCGTGACGCTCCACCAGGACCCTATCTGGATGGATTTGGAATTATTAGCGCTGTAGCCACGAGTAATGGAATTATAGGGGTGTCCAGGGATGCTTGACATTCCCCAACACCGACGCAGGATACTGACCTCCATGAGCTTAAAGAGATTAATGTCAGTCCGAGCCGCTATTGTTAGACTAAAGCCCACCCCCCTCTCTTTCACTAGCCCCACAAGGAGAGCGTGTGTAATTCCAATCCTTAGGGTGCTGTTGCAGAAATGGTTGCATTGTGCCCTGTATACACGGTTTGCAGAGACTTTGAAAAAGAGAGAACTGCTCAAACCTCTCTCAGTCTTGTTGTTTGGCAACAGAGAAGCCTCTGCCTTCTTTTCTCACTCGTTACCTGAGATCAGACAGAGCATCAGGGGCACAGACAGCTGTCACACCCCAGAGGGGTTCCCCTCAAGGCCAGGGTCCACTGCGCCAGAGTCCCTGGATGATGGGCTGTTGTCTTCTTCCACAAGTGGTAACGCTGCGTACACACATGCCTCTGAAGTCCCTCAGGATGAACTGACCGCTCCCATCTTTTGTCACCAAGCGCACACACACAGCCCGTCAATGACTACCCCCAAATAATCTTCAATAGATTTCACAAATACCTGATTAACACATATATGACTATCAGCCTCAATATGTTAATTAGACTTTCTCCCATTCAGCAAGGGGCGGAACAAATGAGTCCGGCCTCACAAAGAGCATCACAACATACTAACAATTGTAATTATCACTTTGCTTATAGCCTTCGCATGTCTAATCCACCTCACTAACAGTAGAGGGAGATTTCAGTCCATTTGAGACTTGAGAGGAATAAATTACATGGAGAGCTGTACGCTTCTGAAAGACATCTTGTTATTTTTTAAGACACGGCTGACATTTGGATTCAGAAATTATTTATTTATCTTGTATTTATTTATTTTTAATATAGCCTTGAGAGGCATCCTTACTCATTGCCTTTTCATTTTTGAGTTTCCTTCTTAAAATCACATTTAATTCTATTCTTGTTTCAAGAGTTCATTAATTATCTAGACTCAAATTCTCTGTTGACTGTAAGCTCTCTAGTGTATTTAGCCCACAGCATTTGATCTTTAAAAGAAGAAGCAAAACAAATACATTTAGTTTTTACTTAGATTGTTGCAGTTCCACTCTGTGTTGTCTAAAATACAACAAGGGCGATTTTGCTTTACCTCTTGTTGGAACCAACAACGGCTATAATTTGTATCTGCATTGCCTGGCTTAGTCTATATATACATTTATTGTTGAGTTGCCGGTGGCCATGTATTGTTCCACATTTCAAAAGTAGCATGTTTCTTTCAGAGCATTACTAAGCTACAGCCACAGAAGCACATTTCCACACACTGACGTCATGTACGCTTCCACAGACCAGCACCGTCTACTGTTCAGCAACACAACTCTCCACCTGTCTGTTCACACTTAGTCTGAACAAAAGCTCCAACCTCCTAATGTTGTCTAAGTCTCCAAAGTGTGAAATGAGAGTTGGCAGAGGCCTGTGTGGCTCATCAGATGGGCTCCATGCTGAGAGACACAGGGAGCTGCTGAGGAGGAGGAGGAGGAGGAGGAGGAGGAGGATGCTCAGAGCAGATCAACACTTGAGTCAGCGAGTAGACAAACTATGCAAAGCTTATCTCAATTTCACTTCCCTCACTCTGCCTTCTCCTTTTCCCTTTGTCTCATCTCATCTCTTTCCCGCTGAAGTATCCCACATAAATCTGCAGTCCATCCCTCACTCCTTCATTGACTTCAGAGCCAAAATGTCAGATCACGCCAGCATTTCCAACAACACTTCCTTAGCCAACAGCAAGTAGTTAGCCCCCTAGTTTCTTTAGTGACACCTGACCGACATAAATTAATGGCACTGTTGCTAAAGTATTAGAGAAGAGCAAACAACCTGAAGACATTTTCTAACTCTCGTGAATTATTTAAATGTTGTACTGATCCCTCAGGCTTGCCAGAGGAGCCGTGAGATTTCTACGAGATGGAAAGTAAACAGACTCGCGGCTGGTGTATTTGTACATGCGTACTTGTAAGTGTGTGTTTGTGAATGTTTCTGTTGTACACATGCAAGTTAGCGCCCATATGTCGACTGTCTGCACTGCAGGCAAATGTCTCATTTTACTTTTGGGGTATGTGTGTCTCTGGAAATGATCAGTGATTGTTCAGGAGACTTCACATGTAATTCAAGGAATAAATAAGAGGAATGCCTAATAAATATCAGAGAAAAACACTCCAATTCGCTGTAGAAAGACGATGGCCATCTGTTGACAGTGTCATCAGTGCTGTTTTTAACCGTGCTGTGCCTTTTGTTTTGGTTTACCCTCTTCATATCTTGCATAATCATTTTGTTTTGTTCTATTGGTTTACATGGAAGTAGGCGCAGAGTACATATTACATCCTTACCACGAACAAACATCTGATTTATTAATTCATAAAATGGGACAGAAATACAAAATATGGTCAGATTATGAATTTGAATGAAGAACCATTTCTGTGACTAAGCCATCCCCCCCACTGCACGGGTCTGTTGTTTTCTGAGGCTTTTTTAATCAGCCTTTGAACACCGGGATTAGGGCTGGTTACTGTGCACACGTCTGGTGACAGGACAGTGGGAGCAGAGGGGCGGCCTGCTGGTCTCAGTGGTGCTTGTCTACCTCCTCACCTTCCCCTCAAGGACACAGGAACTGTGGGTGTCCGATGATCTGCGACAGTGTCCGTCAGCGGCCGTTGTCATTTTGAACAGCCAAGCCTCAAAGAGGCCCTCCCACTGACCTGTAAAGAATGGTCGGGTTCTTTTGCTACTCCACCCCTACAGCATGTCCACATGGGGGCTTGCCACTGGGCTATTGTATTACTTTCACTCCTCAGAGACCTGCCTGACCTAAAACCTGTGGTGCTGCATGATTGAAAATCAGCTGTGGTACCTTTTGCAGGAGCGCTAACAACCTCTTTCTGGGGATTTGATAAGGAAAACTGGGGATGTGGATAACATTTGACATAATAAAAGGATGAGGCTTGGTTCAGATTTCAGCCTTAAATTAAAAAGGAAATCAAGGAAAGTGACAATTTCCTTGCTTCGCTGCATTTATTCTAAGCAATTACTATCCTCCCACTTGCTGTTATGTTGTCCTAACATGTCTCTGGCATCTGCTGCGCCTGTAAGAAGCCTTTTCTGATTCTGAAATATTTGCAACATGTGTTCAGAGTCAGACAAACCATCAAGAACTATTTATGCATTTTCATCCTTCCTTGATTTCCCTCAGCCTTGGGGGGCAGTGCTTGTGTCTCATCCACATTCCCGTGGGCAGCACCCTGTTTCCACTGCAATCTCCGTGTTTGAAAATGTTATTTGCGTGGCTATTAGTCTTGCTTTGTGGTGTAAAAAGAGAAGTAGAATTTCATCACCTCATCAGGGCAGATGTTGATCTCATTTCACATTGGTGTGGATAAACTGAGGGGCGACATAATATATTCATTAGGATGTAATTCGCTATTCAATCATTCTCGTTCCCAGCCTGGATAATCAGCCTACTGGCCCACGGATGGGTCCACTCAATGCCAAACAAGGACAATTATCTGATTGGTTCGGCTCTCTCTGCCAAATGGATCTGACTGCAAAGAGGCCTTAGCATCCCATAACACACACAGAGACACACACATTCTCACATTTGGGAGAAGGGTCTAATTCACACACCTGGGCTTCTGGTCCGATACACTCATAGCGCCATTTACCGCGTTGTCCAATTGGTAGTAAAAAAACAAATAATATCATTACTTACAGTTATGCAAAAATGTGTAACCCACCCCTAGTGACTCTCTCACTTATGTTTTATTAACCAAAGCCTCTAACCTGCAGCGGATAAGACCTGTACTCACTGGGTCATGCCCCCTGCTCTATTTATTGCTGGGAGTGTGTGTGTGTGTGTGTGTGTGTGTGTGTGTGTGTGTGTGTGTGTGTGTGTGTGTGTGTGTGTGTGTGTGTGTGTGTGTGTGTGTGTGTGTGTGTGTGTGTCCTTACATTTGGGAAAGTGTGGCTTTTTTCCCCCCATGAGAGCTCATTACTGCTCTTTTTCCCATTAGCCCTATGGTAACCCACCCTAGGCCTGGTGCTGTGTCACTCTCACTATAACTCCCAGCCGCCGAGCTCCCCCCTCCAGCCACAGTGCCAAATTACCCCCACCTTTGTGAGATGGCCTGCCTCCCTGCATGTGGTAAAGCTGCTGATATTTCTTATAGCCAGGCCTGCACAGAACAATTACCGGCCCATTTCCATTTGTTTCATTTTGCTCGTGCTGATGGTGGTGTGTTTGAAGTTGTGGTGGACATAAATGGGCTGCAGGTGTAATGTACATTTGTCCCTGTTCAGAGTAATGCCACCTGTATTGTGTCTTGCATTCAAATGCACTGCAGGTAATGCCCATGTTGCTACAGTAACGGCTTGTTTGGCTGAGAAATCTAACCAAGGCAGATTTGTTTCCACTCACAAAATCCCACATTGCACACAAAAACGTTCTACATGGATGTATATCGGTAGATAGAGGGTTATATTCCCAATTGTAAATATTTTTCTCCCTGTACATATTTAGATTGTTGACAGCAGAGTCTACCAGGCCACAGCACCCTCAGACCACTGGGGTTTAGCTTAGTTGCATCTTATTTCCATGTTAAAAATAAACAAAAGAAGCAGAGTAGAGACAATATGCAGTTTTATACGCTTTGGTTTCCCTGTGCATCTGCTGGATTGGAGTGTGTGCAAGTGGATTTGCATGTCTTTATATTGCTTTCCCTACCAGCTTTCCATTTTAGAGCGAGTGGATTTGCACAGGAAGGCTACAGAGTATTCTACCAGTTGTTCTCATCTCACACGCAAATACACCACTGCTTTTACACCGCTGTTGCATCTGAACTTCACCGTGCAGAGTTTTAACAGTTCACAATGTTTGCACAGAGTGTTTGCTTGCTTTATTGGAACTCTTCAGCGTGTTTTTTTCAATCAGAAATGTAACCGATGAATCAGTTGGTGTATGTGTGTGTGTTTGTGCTCACCCTTGTTTTATGTTGTTGTGTGTGTTTGCAGTGGACGGAGGCTGGAGCGAGTGGAGCAAGTGGTCGGCGTGTGGAGCGGACTGTTCGATGTGGAGGAGCAGAGAGTGCTCCCAGCCCTCACCTGGCACCAGGGGCAAAGACTGCCAGGGGCTCGACCTCCAGTCTCTCAACTGTACCAGCGAACAGTGCCCACAGAGTGAGTGCACGGACCACCCACGCACTGCAAACCATACTCTCAATTTATAAACTCTGTGCAGCAATGGAACATATTTAGTAGCAACGGTCTTTATTAACAACAGCCAAAATAGAATGAAGTTTAGTGATTTATTTCCCTATTAAAGCTGAGTATATTCAACTTTTTTTTAAAAGGACTTATCTAAAATCTAAAGTTCTATACAAATGTATATCAAGGCCTGTTTTCTATTCAGATTATGGCAACTGCTTTTGGTATAGTGGGATAGCTGCAGGTATCAGGATTGGATTGATGGCGGTGATCTGTTTTTTAACTCGAGGCATTCAGGGCACTCGTGCAAAAAACGTAGGCGCGCTGCAATGCTAAGACAGCCTTCAATACCCTTCGAGAATTCAAAAGAATTCCGCCCCAGTCTGCTAAAAAGCACTCTGATCGGGGCCCAAGGCAGGATGAGAAGATGGGAAGGGCAAGGCTTTCCCCTTCATGCTTTTTGTTTTTGTATACAATTTTCACTTTGGCATGGGAACTGAGAATGTCCTCCTCCACTTTTTATTAGACCTCATAAACATTTTATTTTTATGTATCCTTATAGCATCAGTTTTGTGTGATAGACAAAGGGAAATAGGTCCATTCCATAAGACACTTGAACTCTCTGAGGACCATTACTGCCTCGTCCACACCTTCGCGACCTTTTAGACCATCAGTTCTAATAAACACCAGTATGACACCCGCTGCTAAAATAATACACAACCTTTTCACGTGCGTCGCTGTCGTGGTGCTCTCTAGGCTATTATTGGAGCTGAAAATGAAACCATCTCTCTTCTGATTAAAACACAACCTGCCAGGTAAAGTGCCATGGGTCAAATCGGCCGTGCACATGCACACACATGGCCAGTGTGCTTGTGTGCTGTGATTTGTGTTTTTGATTTGCATCTCATATAGCTACAAAGCCAATGTGTGTTTCAGGTTCTGTGTGAAGCAGCCACTGTGTGTTTCAACAAGCCACGTGTCAGTAATAGGGCACGTGCATACTATCAGGGTCAGAAACCATAAAGCATGACAGCTGAGTGGAAAGTGGCACTGCAGGGTCCAAAGCTGACCAGATGGACATGAAGGGAGAGCTCTGTTGCTCCCCACAGATATCAAACGCAGAAGATATTGCAGCTTACCATCCGGAAATGATGAGTCTCAGGGTGGCGTCTCATGGATAAAACGTTATAAATAGCGTGCTCTTTGGCTGATCTGCATGATAAACACTGCGTTTTAATGGGGGATTCGGTTAACATGGGCCAGTGAATTAATAAACTGAATTATGTATCTTGCATCATTTGACGTGATCAGATAGACCAATGCATGGAGAGCTGGGGGGGGTTGATAGAGCTAATGTTTGTTGCATTGTGTACATTGGGTTAGCAAAATGTGTGTGACTATGTGTCCCTGTGCATGAGGGTGTGTGTGTGCATGAGGGTGTGTGTGTGTCAGCCGATAGCTGAATATTGGCTGGTGCAGTGAACCAGGGAGCTCAGTCGGCCCATCATCAAAGGTCAGCAGCTCCTCCCCAGAGAGGCAAGATGTATACACAAAGATGCTCGTCGTTGTTCCTAATGCACACACACACACACACACACACACACACACACACACACACACACACACACACACACACAACCACACACACACACACACACACACACACACACACACAGTCACTCAGTATTTACACTGACAGTGCAGAGCGGAGCGCTGGCCTCTGAAGAATGCCTGTCCCAATCTGTTCCCAGCAGATGTGTTTCCATAGACAACGGCTGTGTGAAGTATTATAATAAGCAAAATAGTGCGATGGTTTTGGCTTGTCAGCAACTCCCATACTTCAACCATGTCTGCAGGCTATTAGCTGAAATGGAAAACTTCCCCCCTGAAACAAAAGCCACCCTTCTCTTCTCCAGTGTAATCGAACAATAGAACTGCAGAATGAGCCGTAGTTACGCTGCCTCAAAAAGACGTCCTCTGTCTCTAATCTCCCTCATTAAGCAGGGAATGGCATACGTTGTATGAGGTTATTGTTTTGGGTATTGCATATATGAGAATCAATGTGCGACTGCAAGCTTTGTGTTATAGCTCAAACATAAACAGATCTGACCCAGGGAGGATCATTTTCATAAAGCAAACAAAGTGGAGCCCAAGATGGAGCTACGCAAAATCTGTGCTGGAAAATAATAAATAAGCTGGCATCCTGCCAGACAGGTGTTAGAGGGCACAAAAAAGATAGCTGGACAAATGATACTGCTCGTATTCTCAGGCACAGAAAATTACAACAACATAAAAACAATTATTTGGCTTAATGCGTTTAATGAGGTTAATGAACTTAATTTGCAGCAGCATCCAGTTTTAGGCTTGTCACAAATGATTGTGCAAAAACCATCAAACCATTAATCTATATTTACTCTGTTTTTTTAATTTGGGAAGCTAATTTGGTGGCGATGCAGCGAATGTTTTAGTCATGGGTTTGTTGTCAGAGTGGGGTCACAGGCTGCATGAGAAATGGCCGAACATTTATTTTGGGCCATATTTCATCGGGAGCCGCTGAGAGATGGAAGGACTGTATTGTGGAGATAGTAATGGTCACGTTCACTTTGAGAGTTTTAGTAGCCATATTTCCCTGACCTTAAGAACTCCTGTGTTATTCATCTTCAGGCAAGTGACTAGGATTGGCCATGGGATGAAATATATTCTCAGGTCTCTTGATAAATGCCCTGGGAGGAGGCACAGGCGGCTGCAAAGCTTTTATTTATCAATGCAGGGGAGAGAAAGCAGCAGGTAGAGAGAGTTGAGGACAATCGGGTGCAAACATTGTACTGACTCCAAATGCAGCGAGAGTCCGAACTTCAGCGGGATCCAGTTACATTGCCTCAGAGGAGATGAATTATAAGTCCATTCCGGCCCATCCCAAGTCAGAAACTGATCCCTTACCAGCTAACCCTGGAGCGAGTCTCAGGAGCTGAAGTGAAAGCTCAGGGCGAGGGGAACAAACAGAGATTTGCCCGGGGTCAACTCTGAAAACAGCTCATCGCATCTACAGTTTATCCGCCGGCTGTTGTCAATCATGAAGAGAGGTCAAACACAAAGAGAATCAAAAGTTCTCTGCCAGCAATTACGTCAAGTGGAAATGAACGATGGAGTGACGGGCGGCAGAGAGGTGTATTGGTAGAGTGTGTGTGGAAAAAGATGAGGGCACGCTAGAGGCGGACTAAGGTAAAGCCCATCCAATTATAAAACCTGATTAGCCATTTCAATTAAAATGTGATGAATGTCCTTTCAATGATTGGCTGGCATCGTGAAAATCAATGAGAGCGGCCGGCAGGAGGAGAGCAGGTGCTGGTCAGGGTTGTGGTGAGCATCAGGATCGTTTCGCTGTGACACCTGGTGGGTCAGATAAAACTTCACTCAGTGATGCTCCGATAAGCCACCAGAGATATCACGCAGAATAGAGGGAGAGAGGGAGTTGGCTGATTGACTGACTTTATTGTCTGGGCGCAAGAATGGTGTGTGAAGCGGAAAAAGGGAACAGTGGAGATACTGAATCTTTGCATCTGAGGTTAGCTAGGTGCCTTTGGTTTGCCCTTAGAAAGTAAACAGCAATTGGCCGATCTAAGGCTATAGTGTTTATCCAATCAGCAGAGCCCAGTTGGCCTGTCTCCTTGCTGACGGGTGTTGTTTTGTCTTTAGTCAGACTGCACATCCCTCTGTAGGCTGTGGCGCTGCAAGTCCAAATAGCACAGCCTTGTCTGGCCTTTGACTCACCAAGACAATTGGATTTGTGAACTTTAATGAGAGGTTCAGCCTTAGTTTCTCCCCTTTTTTGAAGCTCATTGTGGAGGGTGGAAGGTTTAGCCCTGCTGCTTTTTGTTAAGCACCTCTGTGCTTCCCTGAGGAGAGAGACTCAGAGCAAAGAGGCACAGGCAAGTAAAGGGAGAGGAACAAAGATGGAGGATGTTTCCTGTTCGATTCTCCATGTCCTAAGTGTGTTCTGTTCACGTGTTGTGTGCGATGTCACGAACAAAACTCATCGTCTTGTTTTTATCTTCAGCCAGTCATTCACAATTGATTGCGTGTCAAGAGATCTCTTGCATTAAAACGGGCCGCCAAAGAGCCCTGCTGCATATAATCCCGCTACTTAAGGTATCAGATTGTACTGAGATAATCACCCATGAAATAGATTCTGGCATTTCTCTTAAAGACTCCGGTATGTCAGGCGGCTTTGTCCAAACAATTGGATTTTTCCAGGCAAAAGGAGAAGGCAAGGACAAACGGATGAATAGACATTAGAGTGAGACGTTGCTTTTTTTGACCATTTTCTATTTTTCAAAATTTGACTGTTAGAACTCTAATTTAATTGTGCAATTCTCATATATCTCAGATTCACTAACACCAATTAAAAGTTGTCGAATCGATGCTTCCACTGTTGAGCACAGTTCCTACTGAGCAGTAGGATTACAGTCTGGTAAAATTCATCGTAATATGTCCTATCTAATGTTAATCAGGGCAATTTTGACAGAAACCTTTTGGACGTGTTATAGCTGCTCATTGCTGAAATGTAAATCACACATGCTGTCAGATACATGCCCATGCTGTCACCCTGTTAAGTCTTTTTTTGTCCTCTTTAATTCTAATCTTCAGTCCTATACGTTTGCTCCTCTCCTCCTGCTTCTGTCCTCCTCCTTTTGTCGTCAACTCACCACACGCCAGCCTGCAGCACTTTAACCTTTGCCGTTGTTCCCCGTCCCTCAAAGCTGCGCCGCTCAATGCGTCCCCTCCTTGACTGTGTTCAGCTGACAGCACTACGCCCCCGTGGCTCCCGGGGACAATGGCCCTCCACAAAGGCCCCAGGAGCATCCTCCACTTCCTCCACAAAATGTCCCCAGCCATGGGAGACAGCTGTAGCAAATCCCCTTCACACACACACACACACACACACACACACACACACACACACACACACACACACACACACACACATAATACATACACACACACAAATACACACAAATGCAAGCACACATTGATGTTTGTCTGGGCTTATCTGTCATCTTCATACTGTACTTTTGGGAGAAAGAATCTTCCTGCTCCTCTCTCATGCTTTTGAAAGAAAGAGACATTCAATAAGAGGTGCTAGAATTTCATAAGCAAATCCTTCATTTTTGCAGCATCTCTCTTGGGGGTGTTGTGTGCGTAGAGATAAAGAGACAAGGGAGAGAAAAACATGCAAGATCTATATATAAATATCGAGAGCTGAAATGACGGAAGGTAACACTGCTGCAAACCTGCCTCAGAAACTCTCTTTCTCATTTTCTATTGTCCACAGGTTGACACTCAAGCTCAAAATTCAAATGGTTATTTAATATTAGCTAATGCTTGCTCTCTTCACTGCATCAAACAGACATGGACATAGTCAAGAAGCATTAGTTGGCAAGCAATGAACTCATTTCATAAAGTCTTTAAACAAATGAACAAAATGCTCAAGTGAGACCTTTGCACAAAAGATGTTCCAGCAGAACTCATCGGGTGTTTTTCAACCGTGCTTAATGTTTCTCTCTTGTTTTCTCTGGTCCCCTTGCAGCGGTGAGCGGGGCCGAGGACGTGGCGCTCTACGTGGGCATGGTGGCGGTGGCTCTGTGTCTGACTCTGCTGCTCATCGTGGTGGTCCTGGTGTACCGGCGCAAGAAGGAGGACCTGGACTCCGATGTCGCCGACTCCTCCATCCTCACCACTGGCTTCCAGCCCATGGGCATCAAGCCCAGCAAGCCAGGTGTGTGGGCACCGCGGCCACGCAGGCCTCCCCCCCACAGCAGTAGGACACTGTTCTTTGTTTTACCCTCCTCTGTGCATCCGTCGGTCTGTCCGCCTGCCCACTGTGACCGTGTGGCACTCATCTACATGTGCCACCAAGTCTGTTTGAGGTTGTGGAGTCGTGTGAAAGTACAATCAGCATAAGCAAGATGTAATCTGTTGTGTTTTTGTGTGTGTGTGTTGTGAGCTGTTTATTTGCCTGCCTGACACATTATGTTTTGCCCCTTCCTCATTGTCAGGGAATGTACCCACTCTGTTTACTGCCTGTGTGTAGCATCTCAGGTTTACCAGCAAGTAATAGAAATACAACTTTCTGAGTTGGATGGAGATGGGGAACTGTGTTGCAGTGCCTGTGATTCACCGTGAAAAAAAAAGCCTTTATTCAGTCTGGGTGCTAAGCTCTATCTGAGTTCTGTTTGGAATTGATTTTGTGGTTGCTAAACAGACAGAGCGAGATGGAGAGAGAAGATGTGAATTGACTGGCTTTGGGTGGAAATTGTGTTTGTGTAATGTCAAGAGTGTGTGAGTCTTCTGTTTTCCGCGCCATGTGTCTTTCCTGTGTTTGTTTCACTTTTCGTTGTGTGTTGCGACAGCTTAAGAGCGTGTGAGGTCTGTCTCTGTGATGTATGAACCCCCCTTTGCCTGCCACTCATTGAGTTTCACACAATTGCTTTTGTCTGTTTCTTCTTAATTATTCCAACAGAGAATTCCCATTTGCTCACCATCCAGCCTGATCTAACCACAACCACCACAAGTTACCAAGGCACCCTACGCTCTCGCCCTCACACCACGGGGAAATTTTCAATGACCAATGGACCTCTGTTAGACCCGCTACCAAACGGCTCGCACACGCTGCACAACGGCAAGCTCAACTCTGACCCTGCAGAGTTTGTCAGCAGGCTGTCCACTCAGACCTACTTTAAAACGCTGCCCCGTGATGTAGCTAACACCTCCTATGGGACCTTCAATTTCCTGGGAGGCAGGCTGACCATCCCCAGCACAGGTGGGTTCTTCTTAGGCTCATACAGGCTGCCCTCACACATGTAGTTCAGGAGAACAAAATTATAAATTGTTTCCTTTAAAGGGTTGTTCCACTAAATCACATGGTCTGATAATTAGTTCATTAAACAATGTTGTCATCCTGACACATTAGTACCTAAGCTCTTTCTTCTCTGGGTGTTGAAAAGAGTTGACAAAGAAATAATACATACTTTTTAGGAATTCTAAGAGTTTCTATGCTTCCCTCGTTGTAAAAAAGAAACTTCTAGAATGCACAATCTATTTGTCATACTAGACAATGACTTTATAATATATTTTTAAGAAATTTCTGAGACTTCTTTTTGACTTACTATAACAGGAATCATATATAATATTTGTATTCAATAGTATAGAAACACTTTTAATATCATACAAGAAGGTAAAAACGTCATGTCAATGTCATTCTATTCTATTACTTATTTTAAGTGCACTCGTACTTTCTACTTTTCTTTTCGTCCGGTTTCATTTTGTGATACATGACGTTTACTTGCAATTTTCCTCTAACAATGCCCATAATCATTTTTGAGAGCTATTTCTGACACTGAAAAAGACCCAAAAAACACATAAGGTGCAGTTAAGTGCAGCAGGAGTTGCTCTCAGGCCATGTAGCCAGATGATCCCTAATCTTTCCAATCACTAACTTTCCTGCCAGTCCCTGACTCTTTATTTCTTCATCTAAGGCAACACTACATTATTTTATCATTCTAGATCCAGACTATGATTTTCTGTTTGAAGCTATACTTCAAACTAACAAAACTATACTAACCATGTATCATCTAATCTACTAAATGTAAAAACAACAACTGTGGGAAGTCAGTCTTGCTGCATTGCAAATGCATTGTCATTGCTTTTCCATTAAAAAAACAAAAAAAAATATATATATATATATATTTACAGAAACTTAATTACACCTGCCTTAATGACACAAAGTCTCTTACTGGACGTTAACAAGGAGAATTGAGAGGCCCCAAAACTGCATGAAGGGCTTGTATAGCTTGGTGATTAAAGTGGACTGAAGTCACAAATCCAAATTTGACATGGCATCTAAACAAGATCCAGTTAAATGTGTTGTCAGTACAGTACATCGGCACTACACAGCATGATTAGTTAAAAAGCTCCATACTGACTAACTATAAAATATAAAGTCTGCACCAAATATTCCTGGAATAAATGCATAAATGATTCCTGGAATAAAACCTTGAACCAATTATTCCAATTAGGCCCCTTGCATATGACAAAGCTGGTTGAATTGGAAGCTGATGTACAAAAATGTCAGTTGTGGGCTATGTGCATGGACACAGAAATGGAGAGTCCATTAAAAATGATTCTGATAAAAGATATAAAAAGCCCACCATCATTAGTGCCCTGTTTTGCTTCCCCTTTTAACATTAGCTGAATACAGAGCTTACATAATTATACTGGAAGACAGTGTTTCCACCTGGCTCATTGTAGGCTGTCCAGATTATTCCATGACAGTGCCATAAACCAGTATCTTTTTGGAGAAAAGGGTATTTTCTTCTTGTGTTTTTGCTCGCCATCTCTCTCTATCTTCTGTCTCTCTTTCTCACTCTTATAGATATGTTATGCTTGGATTAACTCAAAGCCATGTATAGTATACCACGCATTGGCACCCATCTTTTCATCGGGACACAGAAAACAAAAAATCTTTACTCAGAGGAGCTATGCAGCCATTTAGTTTCAGAGCCGGCACTTGGAAGACAGTTAATAGATTCAGCCTAGACTGTGAGCATTCAGGCACCTTGGCTTTATTCAAACAGAGGTTTTTTGGGGTAAGCAGACCCAGTTTACAATTCAGAGATTGAGTCAGACTCACTGTTTGTACCACATTTTATTCTAAGTGGATGATTTTGGCATGAGAATCACAACACTAATGCCACAACACTCAAACTACCTCAATAGCTCTCTCTATTCTCCAAGGTGCATTCCCACACTCTCCTGGGGAAGTGTAATCTTCCTTGAGTAGTCTGTTCCATGGTCTCAATTATCTACTTGGTGGCAGACTGAGGACATTTAAACTGCGGTGCAGTGTGTGCTTTTGTCTCAGCTAATTGTTGACCGTGGGGACGTGTGCCGCCTCTGCTGCCGGTGCATAGATTTGCATCTACTGTACCTGACGGAGGCTGCCTCTGACCTTCAGAATAGATTTGTTTTTCCTATTTTTTGTAGCCACAGTTTTGTTCAGTGGGCCCGCTTCCTTTGTGAAATGACAAAAAACGTTGTTCAGTCAGAACAAATGAGCCTGTCCCTCTTCCTTATCCCCGCTCTCTCTCTCCCTTTGTTGTTATTTGCATTAGGAATCAGTCTGCTCATTCCTCCCGAGGCCATCCCCAGAGGAAAGATCTATGAGATTTATCTCACTGTTCAGAGGAAGGAAGATTTAAGGTGGGTCTCTTTAACACAGCCTAACTGGCAGTCTTCCCTGGATGCCACTAGGCTGTTTGTTTTGATGCTCTACTGTTCCATTAGGAAAGGCTTAGGAGTCCATGCCAGCACTGTGGAGGACAGATGTAAATAAATAGTAGCCTTTTACCTGGGTGTGCACTATTTAAGCTAAATTAATTGTTTGTAAAAAACTGTTGATCTGGCATGCTACATTTAGTCTCAGAAGGCACAGCCAATGTATCATGCTGTTGTAGTGTTATGTTATTACTCAGTCATCACAACCAGGTCCAGGCTTTCATTATTCTCTGTGGCAGCTGCCAGATAATTTGCAGAGGTGGAGGACAGTGTTGCATCCTGCTTACAAGAGACCAGTAAATTCTCACTAATAACCTGATGAGTAAAAGTACTTCCTCCGGAGTCATTCCCCTCTTCCTCTTTTCTCTACCCGGTGTAGGTTGCCCCTGGCCGGCTGCCAGACCCTGCTCAGCCCTGTGGTGAGTTGTGGGCCTCCGGGGGTGGTCCTGAGCCGGCCGGTTATCCTCAGCATGGACCACTGCTCTGACGCATGCCTCGATAACTGGGCCGTCCGTCTCAAGAAGCAGAACTATGAGGGCACTTGGGAGGTGAGACAGCGCTATAACTCCAGCACCAGCACTCACAAAAAGACAGAGTTGCCACCCAGTGAATTTGTTCAGTCTTACTAAACTCAATGAGGGTTTTCTTTGAAAAAGTACAAACTTGTTCAGTAGTGACTGAAAGCAGGCAATGGAAAGCACTCAATGCTTTATAGTGGAAGTAGTTCTAGCACAGCACTCATCCACTCTATAGTGTTTAAATTATATTGACCATCAGGTGTTTTCTCCCTGGGCTGGAACAAAGGCCAGGGTATACCCACTATCCCCAGCTTAAGAGTTGCTAGGCAACATGTTTCTGAAAACAGAAATTCTCTAAGCAAATTAGTGATCCTCAAAGTACTCCCCTGAGTGCTCCTTGACCATTTCTGACCGCCGCTTCCAATTACAGAGTTCCCTCCCCATTTTTGTATCCATGAAATTTGAAAGTAACCAGAACTGCTAGACTTAAACAGGATGTAGCTGGGAAGAAAATGTGGTGTCTATACACACACACACACACACACACACACACACACACACATCCATGCAAACAAATGCGGTTTGAGTCAGTATACACATCTTCGCAATCCAGAGAGATTTGAAAGGGTGCTGGTGGGCTTTGGAGTGTTAGTAGGTCTTCTTTCATGTTCGATATTGTGCATAAATTATTCAGCCTCCCCGTGTGGGGTGTCTGTGGGATGGATTGGCCTGTCTGAGGCAGAGGTTAGACCAGTACTTTTAATCATCGGCCAGACCAAATATAGCCCAACGGCCTAACTGCGTGTCCACCAAAGGTGGACGACAGAATGAGAGAGGAAGCATATGCAGAGAGTGTGAAGAGAAGTGAAATTAAAGAAAGGAGGCAAAGAGGGAAAGGCAAAGTGGAGATGCTGGTAATGTAGATGTGGAGAAACGATTAGAAAGAATGGGAGATTAAAAATATGACCCAGCAAAGAAGAGTAAGACATAGAGATGAAAGTGAAAATGAACATGCTGAAGCGAAAGGAGTTTGGGAAATAAATTGATCGTAGAGTGAGCGTTCAGCGGCGTAATCGAGCCACCTCACCCTCTGCTCCACTTGGAAGAAATATTAAGATGATGAAGAAGTGAGACTCCATTGTGGTTGCATAGCAAATGAATTGTGTCAATACTAATTCTATTGACGTAGATGGTGTCTGGTTGAATCGATCCTAGAGGGGCTCGCTGGGCATTTGGCAAGCAGAATGCTCTCCTCAGCTTGATTGGCTAATGAGAAGAGTCAGTCAACTGGCATGATGGGATTTTAGAGAAAATGTTGTCACCTTGGGTCCAATTTGTCCCCATTAAATTAGCCCGGAGAGCAGTGATATTATCTCATAAAACTATCCCATAGTGAGATGTGATAGGATATCTTCACAAGTCTCTCATCTTTATTAGAGATTCATTTGTGAAACGGCTATGTGACCAAGCAAGAAAAATGTAGCTTCTGTGACATGTTTAGATCAGTGTTTAAGTTTTTCTACTTGGCATATCAAGCTACAATTAATTTAATTAATCACAAGTTTCACTGCCATGCAAGGGTGTTGTTTAACAGTTACATTGGCAAGTTGTTTTCACCCTCCTTAACAAATCTCAATGGCTGAAGTAAATTCCGGAAAACCTAACAATCCGATATTTACTGCACCGCCACAGTTTTTTCTTTCTCCAGCACCATCTATTCTTGCCAGGAATCTATTCGAGTCTCCTTTCATGTCAATTGAATACCTCGTTCATGCATTATTAAGTAAATTGATGGTGTTCTATAGGATGTGTCTTTTTTTATAAAAATGTGTGTTATCATGTCAGTGAGTATACTGTGGTGAAAAGGGAATTTGACGCTAAAACAAAATATTCCTTTTTGTCCTGATATAAAGTTAGTGACCCAGACACTTGTGGAACATTTCCTTATAGCATTTGGCTTTAATGTTACTTTGTCACGCTGCAGGAGGGACATAAATGGGGGCCTTGCTACTGTGCCAAACTGCTTTCCTAACAACCCCTTTACAAACACACAGCCACATTAATAGACATAAGGTACCCAGGCAAACACATTACCCTCCCTGCTTCATAATCTGGGTGCTTGACCTTCATCTCACACCTTTTTTCTTTTTCCCTCGCCCCCTCCAGGACGTCCTGCTGATGGGAGAGGAGCTTGTGTCAGAGCCCTATTACTGCCAGCTCGAGGCCGAGACGTGCCGGCTCTTCACGGAGCATCTGGGCACCCTCGCCCTGGTGGGGGAGTCCCTGCACATGGGGGCAGCCAAGCGCCTGAGGCTGGTGCTCTTCTCGGATGCTTACTGCTCCACACTGGAGTACAACATCAGGGTCTACTGCATGGACGACACACAAGACGTCTTCAAGGTAAATTGTGACAAATGCAGCGCCGCTTGTTATCTGTTTGTCTGGCGGTCTCTAAGCCTGAGACTGCATGGGCCGAGTGGTTTCACATCACCTGAGTGATAGGCAGATTATTATGTGTAATAGCATTGTCAGTCACATTTGAAGGTTAGTAGATATCAGCCAAGGCATGTAGGAGCTAGGCGTTGCCATGGTAAATTGAACAATGTTGCAAGCCTGATTACACCATGTGCAGAACAAAGGTGTGTGATTTGTGGCGCACATGTTCCCCCTCTTGAAACAATGCATATTTCCTGATTATTGATAGTATACATCTCGATATCTGAGTGCATTTTTGTGTGAATGCCGACAGAGATGTTTAATCCTCTCCTGCTGTCAGTGGTTCCGCTTGGCTGCCGAGGGCCAAGAAGTTTCCCATCACTTTGTTCAACAGCATATTTTGCTTCTCTTTTTCTGCTCTCCACATGGACAGAGTATAATCAAGCACTAATGCCTTCCTCCCTCCCCCGAGGACTGCCTCTAAGTAGCCTGTTAAGATTTCATTTGCATGGTTAATTAGTAAATTAAAAGGAGAGCCTGCCCCAATCTTTTCCCAGCAACCCTGGGCTCTCGCTATTTCTCCCGGCACCCCTCTCCAAGCTTTTCCTCTTCATCTGACACTCACAGAATGAGCCACTTCCTCATCAAGTCCACTTTTGCCAGCTGTAATGGCTGACCTCCGTGTGCAGAGGTTTGCCACTGACACAATCTATGTATGGCTGTGGGACATAAACAATGGCAGACAGTGGGGGCTCAAACTGAAATTAGCACTCTAATATTGAAGACGCTGCAGATGAGATGAAAACTGTGCACAGCCTCTAGCTGTGGGGCGAGAATTACCAAAATCTCTCTTCGCTTACATCTGTCTCTTTGTGGCTCAATTCTGCCCCTGCTGATATCTCTGTGTTTCTCACAGATATTGCATGTTAGCAGGCATGCTGAGGGAAATTGTAGGCTGACACTCAACTGGGTGTTGAAATAAATGTAAAATGTATCATACAGGAAGTAAAACCTTAAAAGCTATCTCAGCTCTGCAGAGAAAGTACTTTATGCAGATATCAACCTTTTTTCTGTTTACTTGCTAGCAAAGCAGTTGTAATGAAGGGGTTGTCTCTATATATTCAGAACATCGGGTGACCCAGTGGTGTTTTGCTGCAGTGTGACTGTTGAAATGACCTTGCGCGTCCTGTGCTGGATGCAGGAAGGTGTGTGTGTGTGTGTGTGTGTGTGTGTGTGTGTGTGTGTGTGTGTGTGTGTGTGTGTGTGTGTGTGTGTGTGTGTGTGTGTGTGTGTGTGTGTGTGTGTGTGGCTCTTGTTCTGCTATTCTCCCCATCTCTTAGCCAGGAAAAAGACATCTGAGCTTGTTGACTCCGGCACTTGTGCTGCCGTACTCTGCGGCTCCCCCGGCGCCCTTGAGTGCATTAGCTCCTCGTTTCTCACACAACCTGGTCCTGTGGTAAACCACGGCGTCTCCAGGGTTTTGTAGTTTTTAGTGAGTGATTTAGAAAGTGGCCCACACTGTTTAGTAATCTCGACTTCACACTGCTCTTGGTGCTATTATGGAGGGAGCAGTTCATTTAGCAAGTGCATTAACCACTTTGAGTGGGGATTAAACTTCCCCAGAGAGTTTCAGCCTAATCACTAATCACTATCTTTAAAATGCACCATTTATGATTAGACTTTCACTATGGCTACCATTAGAGTTAATTGTAGTGTGCAACATTGGAGGAGTAGCAGTGTGTGGTACTGTGCAGTGCCACAGCAGCCTGTTTTATGTTTCTGTTGATGTACAAGTACACCTTCAGCACATGTGAATTTTATGACAGTCTGCAAATGCACTTTGCCTCGTTTTTCAGACAAGAAGTTGACATTCCATGCATTAAAGCGGCTGTACTTTTGATGGGAGATGAAAAAACCGAGCAGAAAGACATTTCTCTGCTTTTTCGGCTGGCTGCTCAGATGCAAAAGGATCTTTGGAAATGGAGGTTTTCTCTCCAGTCCCCCGCTGGGCTGTCAGTCTTCTTTGACAATCCTCCATCAGCGAAAATGACATGTACACACGCCCACTAACACATACACAAATGCTACACTAATGCACAATCTCTTATCTCCAAATTACAGCAGATTAGAACCAATGTTATTGTCTTTGATCCTAAGTGTGTGGGGGCTCTTGGGAAACAGTGACATTTCCGTCTGATGCTTGCCGTATGTTGGCAGGACTCTGCTGGGACCAATTAAGTTAATATTTAATGTGTGTCCCACTCTTGATGGGCCCAGCCAAGGCTGGCGCAGCAGCAGAGGAGACATGATCTGCGTTTGGTAGCGCCCTCACTGTGCACTCGCTTGTTCCCAGCAAGACCTGTGGGAAGGCTTCACTGATGTTGTGCCATCCCACCACTGATTGAAACACCTGCAGTGAAGCAAGCCTCTGATTCAATACAGAGACATACCTAACAGCATCATCTAATTAAACTGGATGGGGGCCAGAAAGGTGTCGTTATAGGATTGAAATATGGTGCGGCTGTTTTTTTATTTTTAGCTGCGGAATTCACAATCTGTCAGCTTTTGGTTTGATGAATAAAGTGCTCAGTATGTTTACCGCTGAGCATAATCCATGTTGAATAGTGGAACATAAAAACATGTTTATTGATAATCAAATGTTCTTCCTTTACACCCACATGTCTGTGTTTGTAAGGCCAGTATTGTTGTAGACCTACAGTTATCATGAATTATAAACCACCCACTTTCTGTCAGATTTACTGTTCTCATAGAGGTTGAAATATAAGTCAGTTTTTATGTATCGAGTGCTAGAATTTATGAGAGGCCACCATAAATACTAATCCAGTACATTTTGCAATCTAGATTTTTTTTTGTGCCATGTTAGCAGCAAAGCTCTATTGATGGATGTTCATCCATTACTTTGGTCCACATAGAAAAATCTCTATTTAACAAACTAGGCCTATTGGATATATTGCCGTGTTTATTTTTAAATAAACCGTCATGTCCCTAGAAATTCATCCTGACTTGGGTGATATCCTGACTTCCCCCATTAGCAATAGCTTTACTTTGTTTTTAAAAACATGGTTAATATCATACCTGTTAACATAAGCATTTTTCATGTAAATGATGAGCATGCTGATGGAGCTCAAGGCCCTGCTGTGCCTAAATGTAATCACAGAGCCCCTATCATGCTTTGTGGACTCTTGAATCATAATTGTAGTGAGTTTATGTGACATTTAACAGCCATATGGTGAGGAAATTAGTGAGTTAACTCCCTTTGTACTCCCAGTATTGTATTTCAGACTACAGAATTTACGCTTTCATCAATATTCATGTAACAAGGCCAATACATTTAGCTTTTAGTCTCTCGATTGTAAAAATGTATGTTCTAGTGTTAAATGGGTGTTTAATTGATGTCCAACTGGTTAAACTGTGGCTCCTGGAGTCTTTTATACAGTGTTTGACCTCAAGCTATTATTCTTATTTGTGTTTAAAAAGGCCCATAAACTCTTTATGTGCTCCCTCCACTGTGACGTTTTCTTCCTGAGCTCCTGAGCAGCAGGCTACATCTGAACAGAAGCATTTGGCTTTAATGTCTCGGAGGAGAGAAAACCAGGCTTTACAGAGTGTAATGCAAACACTTTTTCTGATCACTCCATCAACATAGTTACTGACAGGAAAATAAATACAGAAGAGCATAGCCCAGTAATTGCTGGCATTAAGTTAAACTAGGCAGTCAGCTTTATCACTGCACCCAGCAGAGAAATTGTTTCCATATTATATTTCTGTGTTCCTGTGTGCTGTTTTCCGCCGTCCCGCTCTGTGATTTATCAGGCAGAATGTGCATCTTTTCCCAGGCAAACACAGTCCCCATTTATAACTGAGCAGACAAGTCCCTTCTATTTGTAGTTATTAATCAGAGTTGACTGTAGCGGGCACGGCCACTGGAGCTCAGACTGATAGACTCTCAGTCAGAGAGGAAAAGCCTGTCACATCCTGCTGACAAATACACAGATTTATGGAGCCCACATAGGCAGGCTACTCTCTATAAACAAATGCGTTTGCCTGAAAAGGGCCGCTCTTCAAATGGATCGTCACTATGAATGCACATTTTTTTAAACACGTGGGGACACAACATTGCTAAGAGACGCGGGTTGAGGATAAGTTTACGAGGATATTAAAGCCTGTGAATCTCCCTATGTTTCATGACATGTAGCTTGACTAATTAACTGATCAAACGTTAGCTTTAATCCCCATCAGGGCTAGTTAAGTTAATCGGTTTATTACACAACAATAGGAGACCACATGTAGTAGCTTGACCTTGCTGTGAGGGAAGCAGCATCTTTTAATCCACAGCTATGAACCAGTCCAGTTCTTTTTTTATATATTTATATACAGTTTATATATAGGCCTCTGCAAATACTTTGATTTCCTGCATCCAATGGCTGGCTGTTTTCATTGCAAGAGAGAGTTTGGTAACCTCTTTCTGTCAGCACCAGCCCGAAGAGATTAGCTGTGTGAGTGTCTCTTGTTTCCCAGTGGAGCCCAGCCCCAGTCCATCACAATCCCAGCTCCGGTCCAAGCCGGGAGGATGAGGGGACGGGTGAGGAGCGGGGCTGGGAGATGAGTGAGTAAGGGTGGGAAGGGGGTTGAAGTCATAGAAAAACTGTGGCCATGATTGCAGTAATCCTGTTATCTGTCCTGCTAAAGCTGGCCACTCTAGTGACCTGGAGACACAAATGTTAAGCCGCCTCTGTCTCTCTCTTCTTTCGCTCCTACTCTTTTCATTCCTCCTTGCTCTATCTCACTCTCTTTAGCCGGCCTCATTGAATGTCAGGGGGTGGTCTTGGCTCGGCCTGGCTCTAAATTCACAGTCTGCACACACACCACAGGCTATCTCAAATTCCGTCAGAACAAAAGGGGTTTTTCTCCCGCAGTACTTGAACTTCTCGCCCATCTCATGCATCTTAATGTGTCCCGGGTTGTACAAGGGGTCAGGGTGAAGAAACCGCTCCTCTTATCTTTACCGACGGCAAACGCAATTTAGCACCAACTTGATGATTAATATGTGATTTGATAAACTAATTCAAAGGCCCTGCATTGTTTTTCCACAGAAAGAGTAAATGATACGGTTAAATTTAGCTTCTCATCTATTAGCTCGCTCACACTGTCATTTGTTAACAGGATAATGGGGCGTAAAGAGGGCCATTATTCTCTCAGTCCAGAACATATGCTGAGACCCTGCAAAAATATCCACTCTGATACACACTCACAGGCACTCAGGAACACATAAACAATATACAAGCAAGACAGTGTCATTTGAAAGTGAGGACATGCGTGTCCGTGCTTTAAAGCAGGAGGTGTTTCATCCTGTGTTTTGTATTTCAGTAGGCTCAGTGTCCCTGTCAGGCAGTGCCATGCCCTAGACCCTGTTTGGTAGTAATCCTGCCGTGTCAGCCTTGAACCTGACAAACTGCTAGACAGGCAACTTAGTATTCACTCTAGTAGCTATATGTTGATAATCAGATAATTGGCATTCTGAATGCTCTGTCTTGCTAGCAATCCTAAAGATCTGCTGCTATAGGTCAAAGACCTGATCAAAGCCCACCAGCCCTAATTTGCAATGCTAATCGCCCCCCAACAAATAATTGTCCTTAACAACTGCGTTAAATGAACCTCTTTGAAGCCCTCATAATGTGCCTTTTGTCTGTGTAAGAGACATAATAGCACAGGGCTTTTAATTCTGTGGAGAATACACTGCCCCCTGTTATTAACTCCTTAGACCTCAACGCTTTGATTCCGAGCCATTGTCTGACCTTCCCACTCTGAGTAAGTGGCCTGGGTAACATCACAGTGAGTATTCCAGCTGACTACAGTACATACAGTCAGATCGTTGTACATCTTTAATATGCTGCTCCGGCATTCGGGCGAAAGTAATAAACCAATGTAAATGTAGGAGTGGAGATGGATAATTTTCGTGTTAACAAGAAGATAAGCATTAAGCAAACATGGAAATTAGCAATGCACTGCGCAAACATGGAAATGCAATTCTCGGGGCCGAAAGCGAAAAAAGTGCGAGCACATCAAATAACAAAAGCTGGTAGAGATTCCAAATGGATAATTAACAGCTTCCTTTCCATTATAATTGGAATCAGGCTAGCCCGTTCCTGGGAAAGAGGGCAGAAAATTGAATTTGTGTTGTGCAGATAGAAATTACTGCCATTCTCCACCTTAATGAGATGTCTTTGCTGAAATCATACCGTGGGCAGCCATGCCGCCATGCAGCGCTCAACATATGGCCACTATCTATACCCACATCTCCCTCTTGGAGCTTCTGTCTTTGAGATATGTCTCCAGACTCTGAGGCACATTCTGGCTGCCTGTTTGCACATTGCTGCCATCTTGTTTCCCTCCTCAGACAGATTAAAAGAAAATATCTTGTTTCTGAGGTCTGTTTTTCTTTGTTGTAATATGCTCTCTTGATCGGAGGTTGTACATGTGAACGCCGTCCAAAGTATTGGATTCTTAAAGACTGGTTCAGCACAAAGCACCCGGCTCAAAATTAATTGATAGATCAGATGAAAACGGGGCGGATATTATCATCCCATTCCAGATGGTCATTTGGATGTCGACAAATGGTCCGCTGAGCAAGTCGCACAGAGATTAAAATATTAAGCATGCATTTACAAATCTCTCCTGGCACAAAAACAAAAATGAAATTAAGGGGATTCGCCATGCGAGAACAATGAGCAGTTGACTAATGGCTCGTTCACTTCCTTCATCACAGCCCAGGTAGCTGGTAGGCCGGGGAGGCTGCAGTATTCGCATGTTAATGCAGCGGCTGGGACATGGCACACACACACACTAACAGCGGATCAACCTTGTGGTGACATTAAAGCTCTGCGGCCGCATGCAGGGAGACTACCTCTCTGCCCTAAGATATCCTCCAGCCCTGCCTCATGCTCGTGCTGCGTTTTGTATTTCTGTGTGTGTATTTTGGACAGAAATCTAAACTTTAAACACCACATTGAAGTTCTAACTAAGAAATTGAAATTCACTCTTGGCTTCCTGTACAGACTTAAACGTTCTTCTTCAACTTCTTCCCATAAAAGGTTGGTCTCTGGCTTATTCCTGTCCCAGCTGGACTACGGTGATACCATTTATAGATTTGCCTGTCCCTCTGTTTTGGCCAAACTTGACCCACTCTACCATGCTGCACTGCGTTATATATCAAATGCACCCTATAGGACTCATCATTGCAAACTGTATAGCCTAACTGGATGGTCCTCACTTAGTATGCGTAGGATGCAGCATTGGTTTTTGTTATTGTACAAAGCCATTTTAGGTAAGCTTCCACTCTCTATATGTGCCAGATTTGCTCCAGTTTGTGACTCTTACAACCTCAGAACCAGTGCCTGGATACGGTTCCAGGTACCTGCTGGAAAAAGGAATCTTTTTTATTATGGTCCTTGGTCTTGGAATGACCTTCAATCAAGCCTCAAACTGATGGCACTTGCCCCAATAGCCTGTTTTAAATTGAAGTTGTCTGAAGTCCTTACCACTAGCTGCTCTTGCAGTAATAAGTAGTGCACCTTTCTTACTGTCCTAATGTGCACAATGTAGTGACTGCTTTTTGTTTACTTAGTTGTGTTTTCTGTATTTTATATGTATGTGTTATGTGTAACGTTGCTGCCTTCTTGGCCAGGTCAGCATTGTAAATTAGATTTTGTCTCAATGTTTTCATCTGGTTAAATAAAGGTTAAATAATATTAAAATAAAATGTCCCACTGCTATGTACAGTTTTGTGTGATTGATGCACCAAACAGGAAGTCTCCACGTTTATGAATTGTTTTCATGTTTTCACTTACCTCTGTGACTGTGATGGTTAATGTGTTTCCTCTGAGCCCTGACGCCTCTCCTCTCTCCCCCGTCTTTCATCAGGAGGTGATGCAGATGGAGCGGCAGCTCGGGGGTCGGCTGATTGACGAGCCTCACATCCTGCTTTTCAAAGACAGCTACCACAACCTGCGCCTGTCCATCCACGACATGCCCCAGGCGCACTGGAGGAGCAAGCTGCTCGCCGGCTACCAGGTGTGTTGGGCTGCAGGCCACAGGAAGTCACTTAAGATCAGAGTGGGAGCACGGAGCTGTAATACAAGTGCCTGGCTGAATCTGTCAAATATGTGGAGCAGCAGTTACAGGGCTTTCGAATGTATTTGTTTGTATACTCAAATCAAAACCCACAGCGTCTCGAGTTATTTTAAATTAGCTTTCCAGATAAATTAAAGAAGAATGGAGTATGTGTCAACTTTTCATTGTTAATGAGGGTCTCTCTTGAAAGTTGTTTTAATCCGAGTTGGCTCAGTTTTAATTAATTGTGTTTTGGTTTGGCTTCAGTTGATCACTTTAAAGACAGTGTTTTTCACTCTGCTGCTGCACGACTCAAATAACCTTTCCATTCTTGGCACAACTTTAAGTGATGCGTTGGGAGTCAAAGCAACATTTTCAGTGTGGGCTCCTCCATGTATGTTTTTGTCCTCTTGTGGCTCTCTCCAAGGTGTAAATGTGTGCTATAATGGAGCTGGGCTGTGTGCACTAACCCAGAGCTGCAAGCTGATTGATTATCCGAGATGTCGCTCTCTCAAAGGGAGCGCAGATGAAATATTAGAGCACTATGTAAATATCTAAAACTACCCTGCACTCGCCGCACCTGCGCGTCCCCCTGCTCTGCAGCTCGGCAGCTCGGCCTCCACGCGAGCCATGATGGCTGTTCAAAGAAGTAGAAAATGTTCTGGCTGCATCTCTGTGAGCACTGAGCACCGGGTCCCCACAGAGAACACACAGGCGCTGCCAAGCAAGCAGCGGCAGCAACAATGCACCCAGGAAGGGGCTTATTTCTCCGGACTGTGTCTGTTCATTCGGAAGTGTTATTCCCCTCTCAGCAGTGCGGTCAAAAAAGGCCTTTAGTCTCCCTGGGGCACCTCGTGGAGACTTTTGTGTGTTTCACCCCCTCTGAAGTCCGTCTCCCTGGGTAACAGTGCCCCCACTTGGTGAGCAGCCTGATCTGCAGTCCCACTCCCCTCCAAGGCTCAGCTCCTGTCAGCTGTTGATCCCAGGGTGAAGTCAGGAGTCAGTGTGCCCTGTTTTATTTTTCCTCTCTAAGGGGTTACTGCTTTGCTCCTCTTGGGATATGGAAATGAGGCATGAATATGGAGCAAAGGAGAGAAAGATGTAGAAATTGTCAGCCTTGAATAAATTCTAGCAAACACTCCCTGGTAGACAGGAGCTGGTGCTGTTCAGTGTTACTACTCAAAGCGTTTACACGCAACCCCGTCACATGATGCGTTTTAGATTCAAAGCAGTGATGTTAAACTTTGGACACCATCAGCATCATTTGTATCGCAGCCCAGAAATGCACACACAGTGCATACAAAGAGAGGAAAAGTCCCTCATGCCAAAGATATATATATAGTGTTATCTCCTGAAATACACTTACTTGTTAGTTTGATTGCTTGTGTCATCAGCTCAGACAAGTTTGCTCCCTCTCTCAGTAATAGCCCATTATCTCCCTTTACCCTAGCCTACTAGTGTCAGTCGGCTGCCTGCGGTATATTTAGCCATGTTCACCTGACACTGACAGCTTCTGTCAGTGTAATTAATGATGATCTCAGCGTATTGTAGGTAGGCGGTCCTGTTATGCTGCGTGTTAGACATGCGGTTCTAACTGAGCCCCTGTTTTACCGTTTGTGTGTGCCGCGTGTCTCTTTCTGCAGGAGATCCCCTTCTACCACATCTGGAACGGCTCCCAGCGGTACCTGCACTGCACGTTCACTCTGGAGCGGCTCAGCCTCAGCACCTGCGAGCTCACCTGCCAGCTGTGCGTCTGGCAGGTGGAGGGGGAGGGGCAGAGCTTCAGCCTCGACTTCAATATTGCCAAGGTAACGTTATGCATTACAACTGTCTTAGAGCTAGCGACTCATTATGCAACCGCCGTTATTCAGCATTTTCTTCAGTAATAAAGGAATGATACAGTGCTGGCTTTCTGAAGGCTGTGCTCTATGGCTGTTATTCCCAGCAGGACACCCGAGCTGTGGACGCAGAGTTCCTGCTAATGGACATCAGCGCCTCAGCTCTAGCGGGGCCCAGCGCCTTTCAGATCCCGTACCTCATCAGGCAGAAGATCTGCAGCAGCCTGGACGCCCCCTGCCCCAACGGAGCCGACTGGAGAATGCTAGCACAAAGACTTAAACTTGAGAGGTAAATACGAACTGTGCAGCACCACAATGCCTCATCTGATCAATGATCTGTGCAGCGGCCGGAACATGCAGCTACCACAAAGGTAGTGAAGAAACGCAGCAGAGCCTCATTTATCCCCTGGAGAATACATGCTGCACAGCAGTATGTAGACGACACTAGACACACAGCTTGTTAAAAATAATGAACGTTTAATTAAACTGATTGTAAAAGGTCATGCTATCGTAGAGGTTAACATGTTGCAATGTAGCCAGTTATTGCACACAAAGCAGTGCACAGTGCATCACAGCAGTCGCATGTTATTCCTTCACTTTAGGTAAACAAAGTTCTGCTTGAGCAAGCTAATCCTCATCACACAGCTAACCTTATAGGATTAATGTGGACTTGATGGATACTGCTATCATTCCTCAGAGAAAACCCAACCCCCATCTTCTTTTTTTTCTCCTCAGAACAGGTAAGCAGCTTAAAGTCTGAGGCTAAACTTGTACCTGCTACATTCTGCTTAACAGTTGTAATTGGTAAGGTAGCAAGGTAGCTGCCCATCAGCGGCAAAGAAAAAATGGAACATGTTTGGATCTGTGCCGACTGCAATTCATCCTCGCACCAACTGTACTCTATTCCCGGAGCACCTGAAACAGGATGCATTGATCCCTTATCCTAATTTCTAGCCCATAATGAGATCAAATGGGTACACTTAATTTGTCCACTCAACTTTATTTAGCCCAATTAATCACAAATTGAATTGATGCACTACAGGTTTAATTAGCAGTGTTTTGCTCAACATAATCAATTCTCATTTAGGCCTCAGGAAGGAACAACTGCTCTGTTGTTTGATCTGTCCTTAACAACATGTTTTTCCTGAATAGGCAGCCGCTCCTTGGCATTCTGTCATGCTGCAGTTCTGCGTTTGTTTTCCTTGTGTATAAAGCGTTCAGACCGAGCGGAACGGGTCCAATCAATAAAACTTAAAATGCAGAGAACCTTTTTATTTGATCTTTCTCTCCTAAGACTGAGCGAGCGGCCGTGTCTGAGCCATACAAGATAAGCCGGTGTTTCACACAGCGAGGTGAATAAGCGGGGCTGACACATCGCACACTAAGCTCTGTCTTCTTTTTTTTATCTGAATAATGACACTGAGGTTTGTTCCCAGACCATTTTTTGACCAACACTTCCCTTTGTTGTGCTCTCCCGACGCAGAGGGAAGGCAGTGTGCACTATACAGGCCAATCGACTGAAAGCAGCAGAGTGTGTGTACTGCCAAAGCAGCCACATGTTTATAACCATCACATAACGCTTCACTTGGCAAACAGGAGATATGGGAGGTAACCTTTCCTCAAGGTGAAAGGGGTGTTTTAGGCTTCTTGTCTCACCCCCTCTCCCACCTGGAAAAACACTCACACAACACAATCTCTCTTTGTGCCAAGAGTTTTCTCCCTTTTTTCTGAATGCCATGTGTGCTCTACATAGCAGTTAAGGCCCCAGACATTTGGAGAACAGAAAAAGGCCATTAAATCAAACAAGCATGTTCTGGGGACCGGGGGGATCAGGGCCCACTCAACATCAAATATAGAGCGGGCCGGGGCCACTGCTTTGTTGTCATTGATTGGGCTTGATCGTAAAGGTTCTGCTCCTAAAATGGAAAAGGTCACTTCCGACTTAACTGTGAAAAGTCTATATAGGATTTACAATATGGGATTTAGGGCAATTTCAACATCAAATAAAGAGGAATGAGGCTTAAGCTTCAGATAGAACGTTGCTGGAGATTCTGTATTAGATGGCAGTTCCAGGAGCTGTTCGTATACCTTTTATCATTTTTTACTTACAGTACAGCTCCAACCACAGCATATCGAGATGTAGCAGTATAACACACAATAAAACCTGACATTGATGGAGTTACAAAAAGCATTAGCTCTATAAAGCACCGGCAGGAAAGGCTTTCTTAAGACACAGTTATTGTAGCGAAAATGAGATACTGTCCGTTTTGATATGTGCACATCACTTGATTCAATAAAAGCGTCTCATTGTTTCCTCCCTGTTATGTTCTCCTCTCTCTGCAGACACATGAGTTTCTTTGCATCCAAAGCGAGCCCCACCTCTCTGATCCTGGACCTGTGGGAGGCGCAGCATTTCCACAGCGGCAACATCAACCAGTTGGCCACGGTCATGGCTGACATTGGCAAACAAGAAGCCATGATATTCCTGGTCTCTGATGGCGAGTGCTAACCCAGAAAAGGGGAGAGACTGGTGCAGAGGAAAAGTACAGAACACACACCGAAAAACAAGAAATACGGCAGCAGGAATCCAAGAGCAGAGCTGTCCCCAAGTCCCTCTTCTTCACTTCAGAAGATTACTTTCTATAGGATTCAGTCCCAACATCCCATCCAACAGAGTCAGAATCTTTAAATGAAAAACCAAATGAGAGTTTGGGTGTGTGGGGGAAATGTATTATTGAGATAAAAGAAAATACGTGTCGTTTTCCATCAAAATGTTAAGTTAAGTTGGTCCACTTTTACGTCAAAGAACTAATTAAATTATATTCATGCCTTTTTATATTAACAAATAGGCCATGTATGGCTAATAAGGAGCAATATGCAAACATAACGATGATGGCCAATATTTAAAATTCAATGAATACACATAAAAGGAAAGGGAGGTGACATAAGGAGCCAGTCATTTCAGGTTAAAGAGAACGGGGCGAAATATGCAATTGGCATGTTGGTTATGACATAATCTCAGACATTGAACATATTTCCGTCATTAGGGTCTGTGAGCGTCCCCCTCGCCAACCCCTGTGATAATATACAGGCGTGTCTTTATTGTTTCCTTAAACACAGAGAGCTTGTAGCACATCCTGGATCTGCAGGTTGAAAATAGATTGTATGTCAGAGGCCCAAAAAACCATCTCATCGTGTTTGTGTTTTAGTCCGGCCGCTATCACTGCTGTGAATGTAACATCTTGACATCTTGATTCAGAGAGATGCTTCACAGCCTCCTGCTTCTAAATCAATATTTGTGGGTTTAGGTTCTTTGAACTTTTCTGGAGGGAGGAGTGAGTAATATCTTCACTCAAGTTATATTTCAGAAGCCATATCCTTCTGAAGCCTGTGGTTTTGATTCGTCCACTGTACTTCACGTCTCCTATTCCCCCAATCGCTCATAGTGGCGTTTCCTTTGTTTTAAATTCCACTGCTAATGGCCGAAAGGCATTTCTAGCTGCATATATGTGAACACTGAATGTCGTAAAATGTAATTTCTGAAAATACATTTTGCCCCTGATTACGTTAATTCTGTAGCAGAGATGACGTTAATGGCCCGAAGGGATATTATCTCATAAAAATGATGCGGAACGCTTTCCACATCAAATATCTGACAATGCATTTCTTCACCAGATTACAAGAGTAGTTGTTTTGTTCATAATCCATTAGGCAATGTTGGTAGAAGTTCTATCATTATTGTTAGCTGTGTGGCAAACAGTATTTCTACATCAAAGAAAGGCCTGTCTCTGTGGGAAAGTTAAGAGTGGCTTATTCATAATGCCACGCTTCTGTTCACAAACGATGCTTTGAAAGGGTCTTTCCTTTTGTGATTTCTAGCCAGTGTGGCAAAAAAATGATCCGGCAGATTCATAAACTGCAACCACGCATTTGCTTATTATATTTTGCTACTTTGCATTAATTTTACAGTTATTTTTTTATTTTGTATTAATGGATTTGTCAAGGTCTGGCAACATTAATACACAGAGTATCTTTAAAGTCCACTGTTTTAGTAATAAAGCTTTGAAAAGGTGTGAGCAATCCCAATTAGCCATAGTCCTCTCTGCGTCTGCCTCAGGGTTGCATGTGAAGTTGTTGAAGCTATAGAGAGCCCGTTTGATTCCTAAGCTCCTGTGGCTTCAACCTTTAACACTAACTGGAGCCTCTTTATGATTGTCAGATATCTGGAATGTACATTTATGTTTCCTTGTAGTGGGGAAAAGGATGTTTTTATTTTCCTTTTTGAAATCTTTGTTTTAGTGTGTGGCATCTCAGCACCTGTTGGCCCCTGTCATCCTAACAAACACGCCTCCTATTAACCAACACGTTTCTACAAGCCCCATCTAAGGGATGCAGAGGTGCCATCAAATAATAACTTTTTTTATTAACTTAAAGAAAACCTTGGATCAAGCCCCTTTCTGATAAAATGGCGATATCACCTTAAATAAATCTTTTCATGTTGAAATGGATCGTCGTAATATGTAAATACTTTTTCTATACCAGCTGTGTGCTGTCACTTTGCATACTGTATATCAGCAGAATTGGTAACCAAAGTTTTATGAGTATCATTTGAGGCCACTACATCCTCACGTTGTACCCATTGCATATCGTTTCAGCGTTGTTTTACTCTCAGAATAGAATAGAAGAAGTCAGTTGCTGTCTCTAAAGTGCGGGCTTAAAGTCCTAATCCTTTCTTTATCTCATTTCCTCGCTTTTGTCTTTGAGGCAAGTAAATGCTGTTCGTTCAAGCGGTAATGTGTCAGTTTATTTTGTCACTTTGTAAAGAAATGTAAATTATATTTTAATATGAAGCCAAAAAAAGACACTTAACTGGCGCAGCATTTGTCAAGTCTAAACCGTGACGTGTTTGCCTATATACTGTTCTTTGGCGATCTAGCAGTGAAGACTTTTTGCAGTGTTAAGGGTTTAGAGACTGTTTTACAGGAAGTTTCTCTACATATTTTGTTCGTCCTTAATCTGCATATGTCTAGCTGATTATTTCTCTAACTGTAAGCATTTAAATACAAGGTGGAAATAGTCCCTAATGCTGAGTGATCACTCCACTGGAACTGTGTGGAGGACATCAGTTCCAGAACACTGACAAGCCTGTGTTGACACAGCACGTTTAGATGAGCCATGGCAGTTGTACAGTCAGACTGTGTGTGTGTGCCTGTGTGTGAACCTTTATCACCCCTGTCATTGTGTTGTCGAAGCACATTTCCGTATTGTAATTCACCAGCCGCCATGTTCAGCAACTATCTTCACATCTAACTTGTCCAACATATCTAAAAGGATTGAGCGTGTGATGAATACAGCTCCCGTCCTGAAGGAGTCTGGACCTGAGGGTGGTGTAAGATGTGTAATGCACATTTCCTTCAAAGTTTTGGGGACATTTTTACATCTCACAATTGTTCTTTGTGTCACTCATTACTGCTAAGTGTCAAGGATGTTAGTGTGTGTGATTGGTGTGTGCATCCCCCCCTCCCCCCCCCATCACTCTGACTGAACAATAGACTTCTGTACTTGTGAATGGTTTTTCTATTTTGTTCCTTGCCTTTCTGCAAGTCAAAAATGCTGTATTTATTACATGCCACAGCGCTTATGCAATTGTATAATCTTTTAGTTTTGTTCGTTATTTTTTTTTACCTTTTGTGTTCCTTATCGTCAATGTAAATTGTTGTCAAAACTTTTGTGGCAATGGAGGATCTTCTGCTAAAGGAGATTTTCTGTACTTTTTGGACAATGATATGGATTTGTGGGTAGAATTTTGGAAATTCGTTTCTAAGTGCTTTCAAGTATTTACTTGGCCTTATGTATATATATCTATCTATGACATTTCAGAAAGGTATGTATAGTAATTCAACCTGAAATTGTTGTAAATAAATTATATATTGTTAAATCAACGACTGGATCTCTCACTTGAAACATTGACTGTTGCTCATAAAAGTAATTTAAAAAGGAAAATCGACACTATATGTAAAGTGTTTTGTATTTGCTTACTCTGACTACACAATGTCTGGTTTAAAGGAATATTGGACATTTTATAATTCAATGTTGAGTTAAATAAAAAGCCCAATCAGATGGAGATAGCATAAAGCTGCAAATGAATGGAGGAAAGAATACTAGATTGTTTTCTATATAGAGAACACTGTAAGGATGTACTAGGGTCTTTTATCCAGGGTTTTTACAACAGCTGTTTTTTTAGAGCACTTTTAGTACTCACAACAAAAATAAAAACATAAGTCCATTGTTCTCTTGTTGGGGAGCAGGTGTTGGTGAGAGCAGAGAGAGCCAGAACATCAATCAATGGAAAATCTTACAGATGGGTTCAGTGCTTGGCATTACTGCATTATCTTATTTGAAACGCCCAACAGCTATAAAAACACTTACAGGCCCATTCTGCAGCAATATAAATACATATCCAGCCATGACAGGAAAGCACTCTGAGGAATAATCACAATATCAGGTAACACGAGGGACAAAATCACGTGTTTTTGTTTTACATTTAAATGTCAAAAATAAATGATAATTTCAAAGGCTTTGATTCATCTCCTAGCAGTGGAACATTTAAAACAAGAGTAGCACGTTCTTTATGTCGCTGTGACATTTAAAAGTGGATCAATTGAGGATTAATACAGGACGTTAACTACTCCCCTCCTCCCTTTAGCTGCGGCTCATCAGAGAACATTCTGCTGCTTCTGTGGAGAGGAGCAGGGTCCAGCCGAGCAGAAATGGGACACCCCCTTTTCTGCTTGACTGGTCGCCATTACGTTAATAGGCACTGCAGCAGGAGTCATGAGTGGGCCGGGGTCCTGAACGAGGCCACCACTTCTCCACACTTAGCAGAGGAGTAGTGGCAGATCATTACTGCAATATGTGACATTATTAAAGGCTAAATGACTCCTTTCAACTGGGGAGTACTGACCTGATCATACTTCAGACTGAACAAGGAGGACATTAGTAGAGTTGTGAAAAATCTTCACTAACGACTACAATTAAATGTAGATGAACTGCAGGGGCACTTTTCAAAGGTCTGATTCTCAATAGGACTTAAAAAGTTGGTGATGACATGAAACAATTCCTTGACTACTTCCAGTTTTACAACACAACAGCATTCGTTATTACAGGCAGTAACATGTGGACTGTTTTATTAGCAAAGTAACAGTATGTAACGGTAAGCCTCATATATAGAAACAAAGTCTGTAGGGTAGAAAAAAGGGTGACTCGGTGTGTGGCCGGCAAAGAAGAGATGTAGAACGTGTGCGAGTGTGCCTGAGGGCGGAGCGGGGTGAAGAGAGCAGGGAGAGAAGCGTTCCTTCCTCTGAAGACGGAGCTCGCTCTCACACTGGAGCGAAGGCATGGCCTTTGCACAGGGGCTTATCCTTCTTTGAGTAGAACGTCTTCCCCTCCAGGTTGATTTGGCAGAGCTTTAAAGATGAAAGGAGACAGACAGAGACAGATTGAGAAACCGGGACATAGTAGATACCACACTTTTAACACTGCCAATGTGAATTCACACTATTTCCTACTGGCCAGGGAAGGCGCATATTATTTACTTGACTCCATTTACTTTCAGTTTTCCCTCACAGAGTGACAGAAAGAGTGATAGAGTGCAGGTGACAGAGGGGTTCTGAGATGGAGGCAGATTTTTCAGGTGGCATTGTGCTGGGACAGCCAGAAGAGCCGGAGCCCCGCAGGGAGCCAGATCAATCAAAGTGACTTACAGCACAGACGAAGCACGTATCATGCCAGCTGTAGCCCAAGGCCTCCAGAAACCGATCGCCGGCATCAATCTTAAAGTCACAGCCGTGGCATTTGGTGCCAAACATCTTCTCATAGTCTGGAGAGAGAAAGAGAGAAAGGTGAGGGGAGGACAGGTGGTGGTGAGTGGCAGAGATATATCCATCAGAATCAAATAAAAACAAATTCAAAAGAGCTTTTATCATCCTGGAGATCAGGTCAGGCTTCCTCCTGGCCTCCACAATCACCATATGTAAACACCACTTAACCTTTATGGGATGTTCTGGAGCACAGTGTGAAATAGGTTTCCACCTCTTCATCTTTGAAAAACACACACACACACACACACACACACACACACACACACACACACACACACACACACACACACACACACACACACACACACACACACACACACACACACACACCGAAATGTTGTCTCTTCTCCTCATTTGGCATTTGATACTATGCCATTTGTGTTATTTCGTCCCCTCACTGTACATCATTGCCTTTCCAGAGTGTAAGG